GAAGACCCCAGAGATAAAAAATGTCGCGTACTTAATTGGAGCTTTCCAAAAATGCGCATATAATTATTGTAAACAAATGCTCAATTATTTATCATCGTACGTTTTGAATAAGCGTTATTGAATATTTCATATTATTTAGCGACATGATCAAGGGGATGAATGCATTTTAAAATACTAATAAAATGTAAAATTCCTTACATGAATATTAAGATTTTTACAAAGTTGAGCGCGACCGCATAAGTGCATTAATTTTCAATGAAGTTTCAAATGTATGCAATATAATATCAAAAAATTGTAAAAACGGTTTTATATTAATTAACACATACAATACTTAAAAAATATATATTTTTATTTTTAATAAATGTCTTTTAATCTTTTAATATTACAATATTAATATAATAATATTGTAAATAAACAATTTTTTTAAATGAAAAATTGCGTTATAAATGCTGATTTTTTTAAAGTAAAATATCAAATATTTATTAATTAATTTCGATATTGTAGAAGGTAAAAAAATAAAACATTTGAAAGAGTTATGTAGGTTCGGTTTCCCCGGTCTGCTGCTGCATAAGTTAACAATTCTAAAATTTCAAAAATTCATAACTGAAAAATTTTAGGTGCATTGGAACGCAAATTAAAGCACGTATATTTTTTTATCTCTAGAATTATCAAAAAAATTGACATCAAAATCCGAGATACATTTCGTAATATCGCTCCTTTGTTAAACGTCGCTCATTATATTTAATTATTTTAAGAATATATGTAAAAATTATTAAAATGAAAGTACTAAAATATCTTCACAGTATAACAATTATGTTTATAATAAACCGGGACATAAAGCGGACGTCCATGGTATCTAAAAAGGACGTCCTTTGGATATACAACAGACATCCTGTGGATATAAATTATATATACATATATATATATACAGGGTGTCCCCGTATAAGTGGCCACCCCTTTTTATCTTGTAAACTAATAGAGATAGACCTAATAAATATAATATCAAATTAAACGGCTTTGACTAAACCTTATTGTAAGCATGCAATGATCACATAGAAATATTATCTGTTAGAGAGCGGAAAGACATGATTAATTTTTGCATGGTAACATGACAATTTTAATATAATAAAAGTTGTGGCGTTCTTTTTAACGAATACAACGATGTGTAATATAACAAAATTGTTTTACGAATTATAAGAGTTATTTTGGTTTACAATTTTGCGAGCAGCTACTACCTTTTCAATTTCGGCCCTGCAATGTGGCCAACTTCTGATTTTCGCGTTGACAATTGACGTGTAATGTTTTTATCTTGATCTCAGTACTCTCGTTAGTGCGAGAGTCGGAAGTTGG